CGTCAATTATCAGCTGTGTATCAAGTATTGATTAGGCAAAAATTGTATATACTGGTTGAAAGACTTCAAAATACTAATTGCCAAAATGTTATGAATTTGTAAAAACAAAAAATTTTTATTTTAGCAATTTTTATTTTTAAACAAATAACGGTTGGACAACCATTTTTATCAATAGCCATTTAATAATTGTAGGAGAATAAATTTGAAAGTTGCGCCAAGGTGACGTCAGACAGTGACGTACTTAAATCTGTTGGTCACTTCTAAGAAGGTTATTGGTTACAAGTGCTTATGTATATAGAGAATAAAGAGCGTGTGTTTGAAAACGAAAAGTCTACGTTTTCTTTATCCGATTCAATCCTGAAAAGGCCCTACATAATAAAAAATCAAATTATATAATTTTTTAACGTCGCAACTTGGTTTCGTCAAACAGCATCAATTAAAGAGTTTTCCACATGTTATTACTAACTAATTTTTGCAAATTAGGATACGATGAATCAGAATGAAATATTTTGGAAGATATCGCTACTATTCAAATACTTTGTGTTATTTTAAATATTTTTATAAGACCATAATTATAATAAAAATTGCTTAGGATTTGAAAAAAATTAAATTTATAGATCAAATAAATGGCTATTTTTTCATCTTCACAGTTTTATTTACGTCACATTTAATTACAATATACATTTTAGTACGATACATTGACTTGTAAGGTACCCTTGAGAGATGAGTTCTGGTTAAGGGCTAACATTAAAAACGATTTAAATAAATTAAGTATTGTTGAATGGGTTACATTGTGACTCAGAAAAAATGTATCTATGATTATACTTAGCAATTAAAACAAAAATAAAATACTTGTTTTTTCTGGACAATGGTTTTGAACTTCATTTATTTTTACCTACAACTGTACATATATTATATGCAAACAGCAGATCGGATAATTTATGTTTGTGGCTTTATGGGCGTTATAGAGAAGGCTACTATTGGCAGCCCTGGATTAATAAAATGATATTAATCATTTAAGAGGTCTCTTATCCATATTCTTTTCAGTCGCTTAGGTGGTAAATGTGTGGAATGGAGTAATCGTATTTATGTGTTAGTGTGATTTTGTAGTTTACTGTGAAACGTCTATAATAAATTTTGATGGATGAAAAAAACAGTTGGTATGTGAAGATCTCAGTGAAGTGTGCTATTGTTTATGTAAAAAGGGGCAGAAACACTTAGTCTTAAAATTTTGGATAAAAACTTTCTAATCTTTAATTTTGGACTGCTTGACCGATCCATATGCTTGGCACCCGTACATCCAAAAAGGTTTGAGCAAGTATGTGTATGTCGAGAGTTTTGATTTTAATGGTAATTTTGATTTCCATCAAGTAGGTAATAAAATTTTTTAAATCGTTCGTTAGTCTTATATCAAATGTAAGTACGAAATAGTTAAATTTGTCGGATGGAGGAGCAGGTTCATTGTATAAGCATGTACTAGAATAAGTTTCACGACAAGTGTAAAAGTGATATATTGTGACTTTGAGGGTTTACACTTTATTTTCCAAAGATTACATCATTTTTCAATTGTTGATATGTGGTTTTGTAACATAAGTGATGCTAGTGTAGAAGAGGGATGACTTGTTAATATGGCGATGTCATCTGCGTATGTGGCGGTAAGTATATTCTTATTTGTGGGCATATCAGAAGTAAATTATGTACTGGAGCGAGTATTGACCCTTGTCACACACCTTCTTCCATTTCAGAAGTCTCCGATCCCTTATTTACTGCGAAAAATCTCCTTAAGATATGACTGTATAATCAGATAATAAGTCTGGATGAAAATAATTTTAATTTGCGTAATAATCTGCCATACTTTGTCGAAGGCTAGAGAAACAACTGTAGAAATGCTCCAGTCGCGTACAGTTTCTCCTCGAGACATGAAGTAATGAAATCTTACTCTGTTAATTCACTACTTTCGTGGTCCGTTTGGCCAATTAATAAATGACAATTAATTAAGGTTTTTTAGTTGAGATGAAAAAAAGTTAATGGCACGAGAGGGATTCGAACCCACGACCTTCGGCTAGATACGCCGCTGCTCTACCACCTGAGCTACCTAATTGGTCAAGCGGACCACGAAAGTAGTGAATTAATGATTTAGAAATGAAGTACACTTCACTAAAGCTCTCCGTCGCCATTTCAATTGTCGTCGAGAATCCAAACCGATTACACGACATTTGAAAAATGGCAAAAGGAGGGAAAACTCATAAGGTGGGGTTGTGATGGGGAGTTGATGTCCGAGTGGATCGAGGTCACGATAGCTCAAGTGGTAGAGCAGCGGCGTATCTAGCCGAAGGTCGTGGGTTCGAATCCCTCTCGTGCCATTAACTTTTTTTCATCCCAACTAAAAAACCTTAATTAATTACTCTGTTAAGTTGATGGGTTCGAAAGACAAATTGACAATTAAAACAAATTTTGAAGCACATGTTTAATCATCTGTTAAACTTTTGGATAATCCAATCTTTTTTAGTGTTTGAATTTTTCGAAGCATTTGGGGCCCGTGAATTGAAAATAATTAATAGTAATTATAAAAGGAATCTAGGCAAAGTACATTTTTTAAGAACAACCTTTTTTTTATAATTGCAATTGTTTTATTTATTAGCGCCATTGGCTATTCCGTTAACTTTTTTTAAGTCCTCAAAATGTACAGATAACTTTATTTTACCGAAGGGGCGTTTATTTCTGCATGTATCTATAATATGATTTTATGTGCCAATTATAGTTTTATAAAGTTCGGGAAAAAAGTTTTAAAGAAATTAGCCAAAGTTGTGAAATATTTCTTTTCATTTCAGAATATCTTCTTTCAGCAGCCATGGAAACCACTTCCAAAGTTCCTTTCTTATTACCGTTGCTATCCAACTTTCCAACCTCTTATAAATCGTAAACTGAAGGTTTTCAATCTTGAATGTCTTCATCATGGAAACTCTTTGGATCTGCTGCCAGCCGAATCGATGTAGGTACGAACGTTGTTTTCGTGCCCCGTGAGTATTTGTGTCACCTTGAAGTTGATGATTTAACAAAGGTATGAAATTCAGTTAATGGCTCAAGAAGAAGTGTTAAACCATTCAGTAACCGATCATTTCACTTGGGTGAACAACTTGTTTTTTGAAGTTTGCTTGGTTACATGTCAGCTAATTCCTTCTCGACAGTACTGGCATGTGCTCTTGTTAATTGGAATTGAATAGCCCACCCTGATTTTTGGAGGTTACAATTGCTTTAAGAACATCGGTTTGGTTTTGTAATTGTACTTAGAGTTACTCAACAATTTGTCATTATAATTGCTTAGCTTCTGGGTTAGTGTTATTCCAAGGTAATAATTTCAGCAATGCTATTAACAGCGTTCAACCTTTCTGAACTTGCATGTCGTTTCTAACTTATTATACTGGAATATCGCGTATGACCATCCGTTCTCTGATTTACGTCCACCCTTGTAGATTGTGTGGTAAAATCACACGTAATACGAGTTTTCAAAAACGCCAATCATCAAACATTATCGTTTACGTAAGAGGTGGAAAATTACAAGATGTCAAAACTTTCAAATGCTTTGGCGTCATTATCGACACAGACCAGGAATGGGGATTATCATTGTACAGAGTAGAAAAAATAATCAACCTTTTAACCGTATCAGCTAGGGTATACTGTGATTACAATGAGCTGTTTCCATTCTAACTTATGGAGCACAAGACTGGGATCATGTTGTTATAAAGCTTTAAAACGAAAAGAAAATTCGCCGAGAGTAATGCTTTGATGCTCTTAAAAATAATTACGTTTTGTCGAACAATTGGACAGCATTCGTGATTGCCAGAAGGCCGAGTGGTCAGCTTGATGCTCTTGGCCCTAGACACTCAAATGATCAATCACCATCCCAAATGTATTAAACAATCTTTATGTAAGGTATTGGTTGAAATGAAAAAGTGACTTCGATCCACTCGGACACCAACTTCCCATCTCAACACATCTTTTGAATTTTCCCTCCTTTTTGCCATTTTTCAAATGTCGTGCAATCAGGATTTGATTCTCGGCGACAAATGAAATGGGCATGGAAAGCTTTAGTGAAGTTATGCTTCGTTGTACTTATTAAATCCATTATATTTTGTGGTCAGATTGACGAAATAACATCTTTAAATTAATTAATCTTTATATAAGTTATTGGTCAAATAAAAAAGCTAGAAGTCCGAGCGGATCGAAGTCACGATAGCTCAAGGTGGTATAGGAGCGGCGTATTTAGCGAAGGTCGTGGGTTCGAATCCCACTCGTGACACTACCTTTTTCATTTCAACCAATATCAAGATTAATTATTTGAAAGAAGTTATTTGGTCAATCGGACCAAGAAATATAATGGATGTATTAAACATTGTATGTGAAAAATAACTTTTAAGATTTTCATATGCTAAGTGTGGTAACGTATTCCGGTCTGTTTTTATTAGGTTTTAAAATAAGTATTTTTATGTCATGATAAATTACGATTGATCGGTTTTATTTTCAATTGACAATTTTAAATTAATATCCAAAGTTGCAATACTGTGTTTGAAATTTGCATTTCAAAATTAATTGGTGAGACTGAATTTAATGCAGTTTTAACTTCGTTTTGAATCTTTTCTTTCTCATTCCAACCATCTTCTATTAATAAATAACATTTTGAAACTAGTCCAAATTTTAAAAAATATTGACCAAACAGTTAGCAGACCCCAGAATAAGCTAGGGTAGTTTGTGCTATTTATTCCAAAAATAAGGGGTTTCCGATATTTACTATGATTAATGAGGTTTGCGTTAAACAAATTGTAAATATAGACATCTAGCAATTTGTTACACATTTACCCATAAATATAACTTATTTAAACTTGCTTTTTAAGTCTCATTTCAAACGTGTTTTGTTACACATATTTATAATAATTTATAAGAGGGTTGTTTTTCTAATATTGATTTCAAATAAAAATAAAAAGGAAATAAATAATGAGAAGTTTTAGAAAATAAACATAATTTATATATTAACAATTACAATATAAGGTCGCGAGGTCGTTGTCCGTTCGTAAGTTTGTAAGTCTCATCTCTTGTAGCCGCCGGTGGAGTGTCCGAAATCTGCTTGGGTGAATTCATGTGGATCTGGGTACTGGTATCCGCCTCCGTTTCCACCGCCTCCTCCGCCATGTCCGTGTCCATGTCCGGTGGGTTCCGGGTAATGAGCCTCGCCTTCGTATTTAACGTCTGCGTGAAAACCGGTCTTCCAGTCTGCGTGGTATGTCACGATTTGCGTCCTACCGTCGGGAAGCACGACTCTGTATTGTCCTTTGACATTGTGGCCATCGCTCGACTCCTGCTGGCCGAAATCGGTTCCGTGGTGATGGTCTTTCACTGAGTAGCCAAATTCGTATGGTTTAGCCTGCAACAAATCGTATAAATAAAATTAGAACTTATGATTGTCCAGAAGAAAACGTTTTTAAAATAATAGACCAATTTTCTACATAAACCTAAAAATATTCTTAATCGAGAGTTGTGTATTTAATTTATTGGAATGAATGTAATTTATTAGCGTGAAAGAAAGGGAATGTTTAACCACGCCTCGAAGAATATCGAGTACTCTGGAGAGAGTGCCCGACATCTGGAGAATAAAAGTAAGTAATTAGCGAAAATGGACTGGGTTCAATACCGCACCGAGGAATATGGAGTACTTCGGGGGAGAGATCTAGACGTTCAAGTGACTGCAGTTTAAAACAAAACAGCATGAAAGACCAGAAGAAGAAGGAAAATACGCAGAGGCCAGCGATGCCCTCAGCTGTTTGTCGGCCATAACCTCCCACAATAAATAAGTACTGCTAGGAACTAACACCGATCAAATTAATTTGTTTAAAAAAACAGTTTAACAATAGAAGCAGAGAATTTGTGAAAAAGATTGAAAAATTGTATACATCAACAGCTGTGTACCCTCCAAGTGACAGAGTAGGAAAAAGGAGGGAATAATAGACAGAACGTTTTGGAAATGGCGAATAAAAGATAATAAAAAACATCCGTTATAATTACAAAAAAATTAGTCAAATATTGAAAAAATATTTTTCGGCATAAATAATTTCAATTGGGTAAATTTAAAAAGATATCAAGATATTTAGATAGAAAGGTAGATAATCTAGTTAGTTAAATAGTGAAAGATTATGATGGCAAAAGAAAATTGTCGGATATCAAAAGAATACTAAAAATAAAGGGAGATGAATAGGTAGATAGTGAAAGGATGGTAGATTAAAAAATAAGTATAAGATAGAGAGTTAGAGAGAGAGAAGAAAGAGAGAGAGGAGAGAGAGAAGGGAGAGAGAGAGAGAAAAAAAGAGCGAGAGGGAAAGAAAAGAGAGAGCGAGAGAGTAAATTAAAAGAAAGTGTGCGAGTAATTGAAAATAAGATAGAAATAGATGGATATTGAACCAGCACTTTCATGCGGGTCCGTCTAGACTCGCGGATTTTTGATGTTAGTCACACAATCAATCTTTTATTTTTCTTACTGTCTGTCCAACCTATTTTCTCCGTTGACATGGGAAGTTTGTTATTATCAATCGTACATTTTTAGTTGTAATATTGAGCATTGTTTGACTTGCTGCCATGTCTGCTTTTATAGAGGTTCTACAATAGATTTACTTAGGTCGCATTGGAGGAAGGATTGTCACGATTCTATATCACTCCCCAACCTTATATCATTTTTTTAAAGTCTGCTTTTATGTTGTTATTTTTTTTTTGTAAATGTTGTTTTTCTACAGGAACTTCTACACTGTGAAACTTTATGATACAAATTAGCTTTTTAATTCACTATTTAAAATTATTATTAAACCGGAAACAATTTAAGTCAATAAAGAAACAAAATTTAGCTCCAACTTTATGCTATAGATGTTTCCACGACAAATCCGCCGTACCGAAGTCTGCAAGAAAAACAATCCTTTGTACGTAAAACGCGTAAATTTGGATGGTACTTGAGAATTTGTTCCGCTCTGGACTTGCTACAGGAACAGGAAGTTGTAAACTCCTAAAATTTATGATAGAAAGCTTAATAGGGTTTGTGAAGAGTCATTTCTACTCGAGGCGTACTTCATTACACAATTTTCTAGTGCGGCTGCGATGACGAAGGCCAAACTTTTATGTACTAGGAATACTGCATATTTTACAATTATCCCAGGCTATTTTTTAACTATTAAGGAATGTGCCAATTTTATATGAAAACTACCTGTTGCATGATAAAAATTTCCAAGTGTATCTGGAGATTTGTGTCGTCAGCAATTTTCCTTTTAACCCTTGAATTATATAACATCTAAACTGTAGAACAGTGGATCAATTAAATTTACAATAAAAGCAATTAAAGCTTTCACCCGATTCTCTCGGCATGAGACAAACTTTTCTATTACTTCGGTTTCAGTTATAGTGCTGGAAATAGAAAAAGCCACTTAAAAATTTAATATTCTTTAACGGATAAATATTGAATGAAAAATAAAATATGCAAATCGAAGTATTTGAACATTTTAAATTTGTTTTAACGATAATCACAATGAATAAGTTAGAAATCTTGTATTAAGTAATTTAGTCAGTAGCGACCATTTTGACCTACCTATCTTTCTTGGTTGCTTTGTCAGAAGCGTTTCAAAATTTTCCCAATTTTCAGTGTGCCTTGCGATTTTTATGAAGTCACATGTCTTTTATATGGTCGTGAGGGGTGGGTTAGTGTGTCAGCGTTTTAGCATGTTTGCCGGTACTTTTGGTGAGTCAATTGCCTAGAAGCCTAAAAACGTAGATCCATCAGACGATCGGTTAAGAATTAATCCTAGGTTCAATGAGATACGTATTCGGATATTCTATGACAGAGCCATGTTAAAACCCTCATTAATGAGACAATCACTGTAACTAATGTCAGAACTACTAAAATAAGACGTGCCAGAATACATTAACAGCTGACAGGGCTATTACAAACTCCTGACGGATATGGATAAACTCGGAATTGCATAAACAACACTGCTAACAGGAAGAAAATGAAACAACAGAACATGAACTTTGTTGATTTGAGGACACATGAAGGCTGAGATTCTTAAGAGAGTCAAATCTGAGAAAGGCAAATCAAAAATTGCAAGACCTGAAAGATATACTCGGCAGGCTCTTAACAAAGTTTTAAGATCTGATAAAACGGCTTAAGTTTAACGAATAGTTCGAGCTAATAATTGTAATTGAATCATATACCAATTATGATCACCATGTGACTCTTTGCACCTTAATCTTTGGCAGATTATGTTTTTCTATTGTTCCGGTAAAGCATCCGTAGGTGATAACGCGGCTTGCAGGCGTTAAAAATACATTAAAAAATGATCAAAATTAATTGGCAGCGTCAGTGGGTCGGATTAGAGAAGAAGGTCTTCCGTCGCATGAACACGGCCGATGGGAGGCCCACGGAGGTCTGAATCATTGAACAGGGTTCATCTTTCAACCGATTAAGAAGGCCATGCGAAGTTTACACACGGACAGTTAATTTTAGGAGAATGTTTATGTAGAGACATGTTACTTTATTTGTTCCATTTAATTGAAGGGTGTCAAACTTTGGTTCCTAACACAGAGAGTGTAAGAAAAACACCTGATATGAGATTTGTACTTGAACAAGACAATGCTGTTTTATTAAGTGTGGCACTGATAGATATGTTGTTTTGAGTATATTCCGTGTAGATGTATTTATTAGCCTGAATTTTTAGTGTGAGCGATGGTTGAATTTTTTAAAATTGAAAATTAAATTAATTTAATACTCCATCGACCATCTTTTAACAATGTTTAAAGGACGATGGAGGAAATCGAGTACTTCACCACCCAACTTGATTGAATAGTATGGAAGTTGGCAAGAATGTATTTTGGAATGAGTGAGTGGGTGTCTTGATTTTAAAGCTAAATGTGTTGGGGTTGAAATTGATCCTAAAAGTTGACAGCTCGTGCTTCGCGGGATGGGTAATTCATAGTATGTGCATAACCAATATTTTTAAAAATGGACTAGTACGTGCGACAATATTTGGACATCCAGTGAACTTGTCGGACCAGGAAAATATTTGCGATTTAAATATAGAGTGACAATGTTTAGAGAAACCACTACACTATGAAAAGCTGTTTACTGAGCCTTTTCATAATTATTTTTCATCTCATGTTCATCAGTTGTCAGTACAATTAACGAAATTGCATATGTGACGAACCCACTGTTTTGTGAGTCGGCAGGTCCAAATTAACAGAACAGTTTGACGACTTACTTGATTTTGTTATATTAATTAAGATACACCGTGGTGAAGAGCGTGAATCAGCACGCGCAAATACACAACATCAACAAAACGACACAAACATAATTAAGCAGTACGGGGCGTAACAAGTCTCCTATTTGTATGCCGTTAAGGACTGAGAACCTACGTGGCCTCCAGCGCACGCACGCTGTTTATTTAACGTCTTGAAGAGAATAGGAAAATATTTGGAAACTTGCGACAAACAAGCCTCTTAAGCGGGGAGTTAAGGAGTTTAACTTGCATTAGTATGCCGGGTGCAAAAACTCCCGACTACAGGATCTGCCTATTTTTGTTTCAGCTCCTGTCACGATGTTGTTCGAATTTTTCTCTCGATCCTCGCGTTTGTAAAGCGCCCTGTAAATAAACCGTTGTGAACACGAGGCCTGTTAAAATTCTCACGTTCTGTTTGTAAAGCGGTATCAATGTTTCCCGACACCTACGCCTTTTATTGGAGAGAAAAACGAAACCCCTCTTCCTTTGTTATTGGGTAAACAGCAAAAAAGGAAAAAATCCACTGTGGATAATTTAAATAAAATTGTTTGAAGAGTTTGTCGTCCCAACTAACTGTCTGCAAAAAAAGGATAAACGCCAGTCTTTAATTAATCAAATAAAGCTAATTTTGTTTTTCAACCGTTAATTAAATTTATGGCAATGGTGCCTGTTTTATACGTTAAAATGAATCACTAATGCATTACAATTTAGCCTTTTAAATAACTTAAAAAAATATATTGAACCGGCACACGGGCACTTTTGTCAACAAAATGACTGACAGTTTTTCACTGAAGATGGCGCAATGCCGAACGCGTTTTAATAACTCAAAAAAAAGTGAAGACAGACCCAGTAGAGCCCATGTGCCGGTTCAACGTGAGTTCACCAACTCGCAGACGAAATCCCATCATCTACTTAAAAAATATGTTTTAAAGAATGGGAATAAATTGTCAATTATAAATTTTCAAAAAAAGTTTGTTGCATCAAAATGTTCAGTTGCATTCGAGAGGCTCTATTCCGTATGTACGATCATCGTGGCCTACCTAACCTACGCAGGTTTGATTCTGTTCATTTAGAAATGTGTGGCGTTTAGTTACCGTTACTTAATGATTATTTGGAG